ATCAGAGGCCTTGCTGCCAGATGTAGTAAATTAGTAAACATGAATTTATGACATATTTAAAAATTATTTTTTGACTAGTACAGCAATTTTTAGGCTTACTTAACCAACTCAATCAAGAGCTCAGTTGCTACATTTAAACTAAAAAAAGAAAAAATAAGCATAAATATGACTTAAATTAGAATACAAAATTTCTTGATCTAAAAAAAAAAAAAAAAAAAAAAACTAGTGGCAAAACCAGCTTATATAAATGCATACAAAATCTGTCAGATATAGACTTTTTAGTAAACAGTTTCTTTCATAAAGTATTGATTTTCATATTAATTGGAAGTATCATCAGAATGTTCAGGAAAGATAACCAACTAGAGAGAATTCAGCCAGGGGCACTTGCAGGTCAAGGACAATGGCTAGAGTCAGTAATTACAACCTGAAAGATCCAACATTACATTTGAAGGACTGAGTCACTGACACTTGAACCTAGAGCTAATTACCAAGGTCTCATCTCTAATGAACTGAGGTTTGTTACCAAAAAAAAAAAAAAAAAAATCAAACCTAGTTTATAATTCTTTGCTTTTAAAATCTGCATTACCAACAAAAAAAACTATTAAAACACCTTAATTATTTTATATAGCCTGATTTTTATTTGTAAAGAAAACTGATAAAAAACAAAGCTTTGGCTTTAAACTAGTTATATCAGATTAAAATTATACTTCAAACTAAAGATAAATATTTCATAGCAAGTCCTACAGGTTGTTAAAAATGTACTAAAAATAAGATAACATAACCAAAAGCTTAAATAAGAGTCTAACAATATATTACTTGAGTAAATGAGATGTCTAAAAGAAAATACTGATTACTAGGAAATAGAACATTTTTGTTTGAAATTTGTATAACAGAAATAAGTCATGTATAGATACTGTATAAGCTAATAAATAGTATATTAAAAAGACGAAAGAGAAAGTAGTCCCAATATTTGATTATTAATGACTACTGTTTTAAAATAGTAGTTATTATAAATAAGTGGGGCTTAATAATACAAGGATGAGAAAAATATGAGGTGTTGCTCTTATTCAATATTCAAGAATCTTACTACATAAGTATTATATAAAAATGAATCTGGATGTGCTTATATTAACACTATAACTATTAGAGTAAATATGTAAAAAAAAAAAAAAATGCTTATAACAGTGAAAAACTTTAAAGCACATGATTTTAAATGTATAACTGTGATTTAAAATATGTAATTATTGCTCTGCATTTATCATCATTATTATAGCCTTGAATTTTGTAATCATAGAGGGATCCGAATACAGAAGCCACACTAAATCTCCACCACAATAGTCTATCCATGACAGCCAACAGTAATTTTGGTATAGTCATACCTTTCCATAGTTTGACATTGTCCAACCAGTTATTGCGTTGGTGTCCTCTTCTATGTCCACCTTCAACGGCACCTTGCATGATGGCCTTGCACAGGCTGTCATGCCTTTTAATGTGTCCAAACCAAGGCACAACATTATTTCTTTTGAAATGTTTAACAATTACATAAAGTAAATAAAATTAAGACCAAAAATAACAAGTCTTGAATGAACAACCAAAAAGATTTGATAAATATCATGGATTAGAAATCAGTCAAAATTTTCAAAGACTAAAACCATAGATCAATGTTTCTCAACCGGTGCACACTAATGTGCCCTGAAAGGTAGCCATGTGTGCCTCAGGTTGACAGAAGAGCAATCCATGAACTATTTCTATATTTAAAATTATTTATAAAAAAAGCTAGAAACACTTAATACACAGCTTCTATGTTTAAATCTTTCATTTCATATTTTAAACTGGATGTTAAATTCCATAAGGAGTTGATAAACCTTTCATGCTTGCTTTCCTCAAGACTTAACATATAAGGCCTATCATTCAAAAAAGTAACCAAAACACATCAAGTACAGTTTTCACATAAAGCATTTAAATATACAATGTAATGTCTTAGAAATAAATGCTTATTTCATAAGAATTCTTTATTATTATTTTCAAATTTCATGACTAATTTTTCCTTATTAAAATTTAAAGTGCACCCCCAGAGTTTTAGTCATTCTACAAGTGTGTCCCAAAGTAAAATAGGTTGAGAAACAGTGATATAGATTAATGGAATATTTGCTTGCCTCAAACTAATAAGCTGCCAGATTATTGCTAAGCATTTATGTTTATTATTCTTCAAAGAATATTAAACTCAAAACTTTCAAATAATGACTACTGAAGTGTAATGAAATTTTTTTTTTTTTAAATTGATCAAGAAAATAGTCAATATCCAAAAGTAACAGTGTCTACATAAACATTAAGTATAGAATAAGAAATTTATTTTCTAACATGTCAGGCATAGAAACGTTTAGCAAAATATTTCCAATAATCTTTCAACCAAAAAACCAATCTCTGATAAATATAAAGAGAAAGTATAAAAATGAGTAAAACAAATTTAAACTGCATCATACAAAAATATGGTTCCTAATTTCCTACGTAGATGGATATTAGTGTATGAATGTGCATAAACTAATTGGAACTTGTGTCTTGTGCATCTTTTAGATTTGTAAATTAAAATTTGAATCAAATTTATTTAAAAAAATATTAGCATCAATATTTAAAATAATGATACAGAAACCCTTATGGGTGTGTGTGTGTGTGTGTGTATATATATATATATATATATATATATATATATATATATATATATATATGAATAAAAAAGACAAGAGGAAAAATATAGTGAGCTGACATATGGTTGATCATCTGACAGACTTTATCAAGGTAAATATAATATTTTGCAACAAGTATCTACGAACAAAAACAAAATGTTAGTTACTCAAAATCTTCAAATTAAGACACTTATAAATATTCATCAGGTTAAGTGAAATTAATTTTAAAATTTTGAGTAACTAACGTTTTCCTTTTGTTCGTAGATACTTGTTGCAAAATATTATATTTACCTTGATAAAGTCTGTCAGATGACAAAATATGTCAGCTAAGCATAGTTGTTCCTTGTCATTTTTATTCATTTTGTCTCTTCTACAGATATACTCCATCTGAGAAATATATATATATATATATATATATATATATATATATATATATATACACACACACACACAAACATATATAGATGAATTAGTATCAAATATAGATTCAGCCAAACGATAGGATAAAGGACAAATAGGAAATGTTTATCAATCTAAGATATTTCACTTTTATTATTTTATTGAGATATGGAGAAAGAAATTATAGTTTTTTTTATTTTTGTGTTTGATTTTCATCAGTTAAGCAGGCCTCATATGCATTTGACTTGTGAAGCAGCATTAGTGTAAGGCCGGGTAATCTAAACTCGGGAGAGATGATGCATCCTTTTGAAGCTAAAAAAAAAAAAAAAAAAAAAAGGGAATGGATTTCAAGCCCTAACTTAAAAACATAAATATTGCTTTATTTATCTAAATGTATCATAATTCTAGTTTGTCTACGTAGGATTCAGATGACAATGTATATTTGCACATGTGTGTATTTAGCAGGCATTATTTATTTTATATTGTTCTTTATTATATATATATATATATATATATATATATATATGATAGATAGAGAGATAGATAAGCATGATCCCTTTTTATTTAGGCAAATCTAAATTATTTTTATAATCATTTTTTCATTATATCAGAAGCTGTAAAAGCCAAGCAATGAGGATATAATAAAACTAGCATAAATTTATGGATATTTTTTATCTGCTTTTTACCTTTTGTAATGAAATTAATTTTTATGGTAGGTTTTGTTTTTACTGAAAAAATTATTTCTAATAAAAGAGCTAAAAAGAGATGCTATTAACACTATTTGCTAAAAAAATCAATAATCTCACTTTCGTCAGTTAAAAATATTCCTTTCATATAGACCCTTATATTTTTTTTAATAAAGCTTGCCTTAAAAATCTATAAAATTTTGAAACATTTCCAGTTATGTCAACACAAGGGAGATAACTGCATAATTTAACCATCCCAAAATAGAATCAAGAGAAATTATTTTTATATATTTCCTGAACATAAATTTCAAAGGGGAGCAAAAATATTTTTAAGAGAAACAATCCCTTAGCATATCATTTGAAATTTTATTTTAATATTTTATTAAAACTTTTCTCATCTTAAAAGAACAATTATAGCTTTTTTTTCTGTGTATCTGCATTACATTATCTCCATGAAAATTAACAAGCAGATTTGTGAGGATATAAATTGTTTTTATCAGTATAAGATTTTCATTATTGGTTAGCCTCACTAATAACAGATAACAAAAGATCAAATGATTTTGAAACTATGCTATAAAGATTAAGAATACAATTGAAGAGCAATAACTTTTCTATTTTTATATTCACTTTCATATAAAAACTAGACTGCAAAAGTTTTGTACATATCATGAAATATATATATATATATATATATATATATATATATATATATATAGGTGGAGTGTACAAGGCTTTTTTCTCCATCTTTTAAATGTATCAAAATTATGAGGACTCATTTTCTGTCTGTGTTTCTACCAATCTAATGTACTTAAGGTATAATGTCTAAAGTGGGTCAGAAAGATTATTTTTTTAAATTACTATAGGGGATGATAATTATAAAATTACATTATATATATTATATATATACTTATATATATATATATAAAAATAAATATTCAATATCATATGCATATTGATTGATTCATTTTCTATGTCTTAACCCTTTGCAGGTTATTTAAAGCCAGAAAAAATTTTTAGATTCTAAGAATTTTTTTTGGAAGATAATAATGGTTTAATCTTACAAGCCTTAGTAATTAACCTGTAGCTGGAGAGATAAGAGGTGAATTCATACCTTTGCCAAGGGTATTTGCATGCAAGTGAATATAAAGAATCCAAATAGAATTGAAATTTGGCTCTCCAATTAATAATTCCAAGCCATTACCAATTACACCATCCACACATCCAAGCTTACACACCTGTTATTCCCAAGCGGTCATCCATCTAGGTACTGACCAAGCTCAACATTGCTTAACTTCAGTGATTATATGGGAACTGGTGTTTTATTGTGATGTGGTGCTAAGCACAAATATATGTATGTGGACTATTTATGTGTTATATCATAAACAAGTGTTTATAATTATATTAAAAAGAATAAAGAACAGTTTTCCTTTTTTGCTAAGTTTAATAATCATTAAAATGAATATACATGATCTATAAGCTGTCATCTTTAAGTTATACACAAAGATATATATCTTTTATAATTTCAGATCATATTTGCAATTGGCAGTAAATGACAAAACACCTAAAGAATGTTTGTTTTCCATTTTTTTTTTTTTTTTTTTTTTTTTTTTTTCAATAAGTGACTTCCATTTACTTACACCTCCTCATCCCAAAGCCACTACCATAATTACTCAAAATTACCAAATGTGTAAATTCTATAAATACAATTAGCAGCTATCTAATAAAAACCTACAAGGGATAAAAAAAAGGGTAGAAATGTCTTCTAAACACAAATTACCTTGAAGCCATAAGTGTATCTCAGACACAAATGTGAAAAAATAAAAACTTAAGATTGAATTTATATATTTACCCTTTATGAATATCCTTAATTCTATTCCTGAACCAACATTTGTGAATCATTTCAGAAAATGTTTGATCTAAATTAACAAGCACTTTTAAGCATTTTGTAAATTTCTCTCATGAAATGTGTATGAAAAGATAAATTTAGAAATATGTACACAAATAATATAAAATGCTAGCAGTTTCCAGGCTAAAATCCACATCTTTTTGCCACAAATTTTTTTATTTCTTTCTAATTGTGATATCACTTATGTTTTTAATTATATCATGCTAACAAAGAAAAAAAAAGAATTCAGAAAAAGATTCAAATAAAACTTATTCAACACTTTAAATTGTATCCATTAATTTAAAAAACTGAATTCTTTGGCTCATGAAAATATGTAAAATATACCTGGCTCTCCTTGAAAATTTTGTTAAACTATTGACTTAATTTTGTACCAAAGTTAAAAAAAGATTAAATGAATATGTATGATAATGAAAAGAGGATAATACAAACAACTTCTAAATGAAAGACAAGTACAAAACCAAGTCAACCAAATCCTCAGAGAATTCCCCTTTGAAAATTATTAGTTACCAAAAACAGTCAAAAGAAAATTGTATATTACTATATTTTGAAATACTAAATATGTATTTGTATAATAGTAAATCTTACTTGCATTTATGAATTTATTAAAGACACCAAATTAGTTTGTAAACTAAGATACTAGCAGGTTTACATCTGGCTCCTGTAGATGGTGTTCAAACCTGGCTAAGCACCAAGATTGAAATGCTGATTTTCAAGGCACTTATCATTAATTAAAATTTTGGAAAAAACAATCTTACACTTAGTACAATTACTAAAAAAAAAATTATGATAGCAATGATATACATCAAAAGAGAACCTACAAAAAAAAAAAAAAAACATTACTTTTGAGAGAAATGTTGATGTAATTCATGAAATTATCAGCCATTATAGACACTATAAAATTATGATAAATCACATCTCAAGAGACATGGTTTCCATTTAACAACTAGAGATTTATTGGTAATTTGATTATTATTATTTTTTAATCAGATAGGAAATAGTCATCAGCTTGGATATATACAAGGTAACCAAAAAGGTTCTGTCCGTTTTTTGATTAGTCATTGAATGAAGTTGAAATATATATGAAATGCGTGTAGCAATTTTTTTCAAATTCGGACAGCTGGAAGTAGGAACATCAGACGTTATAAAAAAACATGTGCACCGTGCCTGGCCATCAGTTATAAGCCGGACAGCTGTGAGAAGGATGGAAGTGTCTAGAGATCTCGTTCGGGGCTGTTTGCTTTACGACTTCAAAGTGGGCTTATCAGCAGCTGCATCAAGTCGCCACATATGTCAAGCGTTTGGGGATAGTGCTGTGGATGAACGTACTGCAAGGCGTTGGTTTTGAAAATTCAAGTCGGGAGATTTGTCTCTCCATGATGAGCCTCGCAGTGGACGACCACAGGTCTTGAATGACGGAGTCCTGAAGGCGGCCATTGAAGAGGACAGTAGTCTAACGTGTGGTGAACTTGCAAGACAGTTCAACGTTTCCGATGAAACAGACTTCACCTGCACCGCCTAGGTAAGATGTACAAGTGGGTTCCGCAAACGCTGTTGGAGGTCCACAAGGGACAACGAGTGGCAGCCTGCATATCGCTGCTTTCTCGCCACCGTACCGCATCCTTATTCAATCGAGTGCTTACCAGTGATGAAAAGTGGGTTCTGTACGAAACTCCCAAGCGTTCCAGACATTGGTTGTCTCCTCAGGATGCTGTCCCTCACACCGCAAGACCGCCTATGCACCCACGCAAGATTATGCTTTGTGTCTGGTGGACAGGTTGTCAAGTGGTTCATTTTGAACTGCTACCAACAGGCCAAACGGTCACTAGAGATCTATTCTCGCAGCCATTGAAACGTGTGCAACAGGCATTGCGCCAGAAGGAGCCAGCACTGGTGAAGGTGTGCTTTTCCTCCATGACAACGCCAGGCCGCATGTCGCGCGAGTGGTCAGGGATACCATACTGCAACTTGGGTGGGAGACTTTGCGCCATTCACCTTATTCATCTGACCTTGAGCCATCCGATTACCACCTCTTCCACTCCCTGGATAATCATCTTCGTGGGGAAATCCTTCACCAATGAAACAGACTTGCGCAAAGCCCTCATGGACTTCTTTGCGTCAAACCCCCCGAGTTCTACCGCAAGGGCATTGAACAGCTGAAGACACGTTGGCAGAAGGTGCTGGATGCCGATGGCAATTACTTCGAAGACTAAATATAAGTTACACATACTGTGAAGTGTCTTCTTTTTTTCCTTTAAAAACGGACAGAACTTTTTTGGTTACCTTGTGTGTGTGTAGTATATATATATATATATATATATATATATTATATATATTTATTCCAAACTATAAACAGAAAAGAAAAATCAACATTAATAATTTGTCACTTTTAGAGTTTTAACCCAAAATACTCCCAAAAATGTGGTCTTCATATGATATTTTTTTAAATTTACTGGATATTTTCAATAAAGAACAGAAACTTTTAATTATCATGTTTATTGTATTCATGTTTAGAATATAATTTTTACAAATAATTTTTTTTTAGAATATAATTTTTACAAATAATTTTTGAGTTTTCATTATTAAACTCTTTTATAAGGCTTTATAATAAATCTATGATGAGAGCAATTGCTTTGGTTATCTAAAGTTTTTGACAAGATGTGACATAGGGGATTGCTACACACTCCTCACCTTTGGCATTTCTGGAAGAAACTTCTAGATTATCAAATCCTTCCTATTGGGTAGGTTCGTGAAGGTCGCCATTAATAGCCAGTCCTCTGATACTCACAAGACCCCAAGGCTCTCTTTGGTCCTAACTTTTTTCTGCCATATATTTTAACAAATCTGCCTAAGAGCATTCACAGATCACTAGTAAATATAGATATCCACTAGCACACACATGTTGCAACTAGATGTGACACGAGAGTGGGTTTAACAGCAATACCAAGGAAAAATTTGTGGAAGGGGAAATGGCACTTCCTCTTTGGGGATGCCTCAGGTGCCAGGCAATAAACTCAGTTCCAATGAAGCAGAGGTAATGTCTGGGGGACCCCTAGTGTTATATATTAATATTATAGGAAGATGAGAAATTTCAAAGATCAGGATTTTTGCTAGTAAATATATATGCACAGATATAATACCACAGTTCATGGCAGCACTACCAAAAAAATAGATGATTAGTACTTGGGAAAACTAAGGATCCTCTGTTCTTGCTTGCAAAGCTCAATTGGGGAGGAAGTGGCTTGTAATACAACAACACAAATCCAAAAAACCAAGCTGGCAACTTTCCATGATCACAGGGCAGACCTTTCCAGTCATGATGAGCATTGTAATAATTTTGAAGTAGAATTGATGGAACAATCTATTGGAATTCAAGCTAAAAATTTCTGGACAAGTGGTTGGCTCCTTGAACCATTTCCAGAAAGACACCTGATATTTCTTCCTGCCATGCAATGTCTTTACAAGAGCTAGATCAAAGACCAAAAATTATTTTGCTACATCTGGCAAATTTTAACAATCTTCATTTTCCACCCATGACCAAGTTCAAAAGTGTCTGCACAGCCTTGTGAGTGATGAATTGTTCTCCATCCTACATCCTCTCTCCCACAAATGAAACAATGCTAGCCTTTGTTCTCTATTGCTATTTTACATGGCAGATGTTTGGCCAAACTATATTCCTTGGTCCTACCAGTTCAGACCTTCCCAACTAGGACACACAACACCACATACACAGAGGTAACTCATCCTCATTCCCAGAACTGTTGCATTGTTGAACAGAGTCCTGAGAGGTTGCTTCCCTGATTGCTTCAATCAAGTCACAAGTCAACCATTATCTATCTCATATATCCTCATAATATGCACCCCTTGCTACCTCCATATACATCCTTATAATCGTCTACCTTGCTTGAGCATCTGTTGGGCCTTTTACTGAGTGAAATGCACTGGTAGTTTGGATAACTATATCTATATGATTACACTGACTTCAATAAATAACTATTTGTAAATTATTAGTTGTATAAAATTTATTCTATTTTCTAATATTGTTAAAGCTTTCAAGTTACTATCAAACAAAAATTTATTGTTTAAAACTTTCTTAGTATTTCTTTCTTCTGAACAGCAAACATTTTGAACTTGAAAAATATGTATATTGCTGATAGCTCATTAAACTAAGAGAAATTAACATTTGTAAATTTTATAACCTTCTCCAAATTCATAAAAAAGATAGCATGGAATTTGGGCACAGGTTCCTTCTAGTGTAACTAATTAATTAAAAGATTACTTTTTGAAACTATCTGAAGCTATATCTTTATATATTCATATATTTTAGTACTAAAGAAAGTTGCAGCATGTGTGGATAATTTTTTAATTAAAATTGGATCTAAAAGACATAAATAAAAAGATTAATGATTTTACATGTTA